AATGGAATGATAGAACCTCTCTGATTCTTCGGTTATTACTTTCATAATTCACCCACAAAGACAGGCAATGCCATGTCAGTAACACCAACATGACTCTATGCAAAGCAGAGGGAATGATGTACAACATGTTATTTTGTCCCCTCAAATACAAACTTGTACTTAGAGCACGGCTTCATGACCCAAAGGTGTTTACCATCATTTCCTTATAGTCCATAACATAAGCTTTTGAGATTGCTATTCTGTCTGGCTTTAAATATATGCTAGATATGGACTGTATTAATTAGGGATAATCCCGGCATGACAAACATGTTTTTCCAGAACTAATGACTTTTATGTCAGGCTGACAAGTATAATTAGGCAATAAATCTTCAATCAGTCTGGTTCAAATTGCTACAGGGAAGATGAGGTCTCTGCCATCCTTGTCAATTTATGTTTAAAATATGCATGAGTACTATTTCCAAAGAGAGGAGGTAGCTAAAGGAATTCACAATTTATGTTGCATGAGTACACTCTAAAATATTCTATCTTTTCAAGGAGCCATATTTCAAACAAGCGCCCAAACCATGGCTATGATAAAAAAGTCACAAAGTGCCAAGTTGGATTTCATCAAAATCAACAGTATTTTCTGGTAAATCAAAATGATAAGGCTATTTGTTAGAGGCAATAGCTTTGAACTTGGCACTGGGCTGCCTCTTGTGCTGTCCCAGGTGGGCTTATTGAGCTATGTGATCAGCCTCGGCATTGCATGCCCAGTGCTGGACAGGGGCTGAGGCATGCTCGATCAATCAATCAATCCACAAGCACAGGTGTCAGGGAGGGTAAGAACATTTAAGAAGAGCCTGTTCCAGGCCAGCAGGTGGTATAGTGGTTAAGGCACTGGACTCCCACATGGCCAACCTTGGTTCAAATCCTGAACTTGGTGGCTTGTTTCCTCACTTTGCCTCTCTCTGTTTCTTCTGGTGAGCGCATGTGCCCTACAGCAAAATAATAATAATAATAATAATAAAATTCTTTCTTTGTTTCCTTTTCCTTTTTTTTTTTCTTTCTTCTCTTTCTTTTTTTTTTTTTAGAAGAGCTTGTTTGTAATTTGGGATCACTTCTAGTTACAACAAAGTTGGATTTAGTCTGTAGTACTGTTCCTTAGAGATGATCCAACTCAGATAAAGTTCAGAAGATAAACAATCAGAGCAAGATAGACAAGCAGAGCTGCAGTTAGAAATTGAAAGTTGGGCAAGACCAACATGGATGAGAAGCTCCTTGAGGGCAAGAACTCCTGTCCTTTCATATCAGTCTTTAATTCTGGTAGTATTCTGTTTGGTTAATAGTAGAGATTAAGTTCAATTTTCACTCCACCAGAGGCTGGCTGTGACACTCTGGACAAATTACATAAGTGCTCTGTGCCTCAGTTCTGTCATCTGTACAGGTGCTAGTCTTGTGTCCCCAGGAAAGTCACTGTTCTCTCCAGAAGAGATGCTTCAGCCACTCTAAATCCACCCAGCTTATCACAAAGTGATGAACAAGTGCAAGGTTCACATTCAAGTTTATATGGATCACACGTGGCCCCCTCTGTAATCAGTTTCCATACTCATGGATTCAACCAAACTTGGGTCAAAAATATTCAAAAAAGTAAAAAAAAAAAATCCAAAAATAAAACAAATTAAAAAATACAGTATAACAACTATTTACATAGCATTTATATGAAGTATTAGAAGTAATCTAGAGACGATTTAAAGTGTATGGGAGGATGTGCACAGGTTACATGCAAATACTGTGTATGACAATTTATGTAAGAAACTTGAGCATGTGCAGATTAGAATATCCACAGGGGGGTCCTGGAACCAATTGCCCTCAGATACTAAGAAACAACAGTAGTTCATTGTTTTAGAATGTATTAAGCTAACCTAATATACATTCTCCTCTTGTAATTATTTTATTTATCTCATATCTTTTGCAAAATAAGGGCAAAGTGCAGTTTTCCCACAAGGAGTGCTGTGAATGAGCACATATCCATACCCACAGACATGCTCGCACTGCCAATCACACCGTGAACTGGTTACCATAAATGATAGCCTGTCTATTTTTAACCATGACTTTCGAAGTTCCACCACCTATTGGTCTCAGTTTAGAAAGTGCATTTTTTTTAAAAAAAGGTTTATGTCATAGGGCATGTGTGCTCTACAGAGAGAGGAAAAGTGAGAAATTACCCCCCCCCCCGCAGTGGGAATGACCAAGCTGAAGTCCTTTACCCATTCTCCTCTTGGGATTTTTGGGCACATATACACAAGTGCCCAGCACAATTTTCAAGCAGCTGAGTCTGGGACTTGAACTGTAGTTGACCATGTAGGAGTCTAGCACCTTAATCATCACACTACTTGCTGGCCCCAGAAAGTGCCTACTTTATTTATTATTTGTATTGGCTGCTACCCTGTGCACGCGCCCGGCGTGAGTTTTAAGCCACTGGGTCCGGGACGCGAACCGCGGTCGACTACGTGGGAGTCCAGCAACATAGCCATTATGGTAACTGCTGGTTCCCAGAAAGTGCCTATTTTAATGCAAACCCTGGAAATATCTCTGCACAATGACTCTGTCTGGCAGTTCCCTACAGAGTAAGAGAGGATGAAGAAGCAGTATGGTCCTAAAAGCATCACATCTAGTGTGAGGCAAATGCCTGGAACCTCACCCATCTTGATGCACACACAGCAGATCTCAGACTTGCCAGCCATTAAGAGTCTGATCCTGCAGCCAGGACCACTTAGAGTCACTGAGAAGAAGCCTGGGGAAGCCATGCTTCTCTGGTAAGAGGTGGAGAAAGTGACCCCAAACAAATACCCTTTAAAAGAGCAACGTATTTGGTTTTGAACATTTTAGGGTTCTAGACCTGAGCAAAAGGAGCATGGGAAGAAATGAAGACAATGCAATATTCTTGTGAAATAAAAAGTGTCTTATTGGAAATTAAAACAATAGGATTCTCACTATTGTACACCTTAAGACTATAAGACAGGGAACCTAACTGGTGCCAATAACAGGACTTTATAGGAAGATATTTAATGAGTCAACAAACAATTCTTCAAAAAGGACGCATGTGAATCCATCTGCTGTGACATCATATAGTCACTTCTCTGAATATTTAAGTATTGGCATACCTATGAGTTACTCACCATGGGAAGCAGAGTTAGTTGAAAGAATATGCCCTAATAAATATGAGTCATAGGGCTGGCAGGTGGCGTGGTGGTTAAAGGTGCTGGACTCCCACATGGCCAATCACAGTTCAAGTCTCGAACCTGGTGGCCTGCTCTCTCACTCCCCCCTCCCCTCTTCTCCCCTTGCTTTGTCCCTCTCTGGTCAAATTAAAATGAAATGAATGAATAAATAAAGTTAAATAAAATAATTCTTTAAAAAATATGAGTCATAAATAAAAGCAAAGCATTTTACAAGTACATAAATAGAAAAATTAAAGTTCACTGTTCAATAATTCCATTTATATACTGTTCTAATAGTGCTTTTACTGGGTAAAATTAGATATACTTGCTTCTAAAGGATACTGGAGAAAAAGTACCAAGGCATCCACAATGTACTATGTGTTACAGTGAGTTAGGAATAAATGCAAGCCCTAATTTGTTGGTATGAGCAGGCAAACTTCCAAATGCTGTAAACTGAATCTGTCATAAATCAATTTTATACTAAGAAACCTAAAGACCCACCATATAATTATTTTAATATGTAGGCCAGTTTATCAGCTCTTAGAATGATCATTTGAATAATACTGAGGAATAAACAGATTAAAATTTACACCTGCTCCAAATAAAACAAAGTAACAATCTTATTTATTATTTATAGTGCTAAAAGCAGAAGTCCTCATTTAAAAGATGTTAAAAATAAAAAGGATGTGGTCAATCTTTCCCCTCCTTTTACATGCACTTTAAAAAAAAAGAAAAAAAGATTTGGCCTGGATTTAAAATATGTCCATTTACTAAAGAATCACATTTTCTTTACAGACTAAAACCAGATCATGAAGACCAATTTGAGTTATTTAGAAGTATGTGAATATTTATTCTCAAAACATAAAATAGATTTTGGCAGTTGGTATTTTCAAAATGTTAAACCTGCTAGAAATCAACCACATTACAATCCTAATATATAAAATTTTAGTAAGACAATGGCAGTCTTTTCTTGGAAATACCTGCTACTCAACAAAGGCATTCACCAATGTTTTTGGTAGGAGCCTGGATACAGTTGGATGCTACTCCTCAAGCCTCACTAAACTGAACTTCTTTAAAGGTTGCTTATTATCTGCATGTCATTCTAGGTCTATTTCCTAATCTGTAAAGTACTTCAATCATTTTTAAGAGATGTTCAAGGGCCAGCAAATGGTGTAGAGGTCAAGGCACTGAACTCCCACATGGCCACCCTTGGTTTGAGTTCCAGACCTGGAGGCTTGAAAATTGCACTGGGTGTGGATGTGTGCATGCCCCAGATCCCAGGAGGAGAAGGGAATGAGGTGTGGCCATCTCCCTGGGGGAGCGGGGTGATTTCTCACTTTCCCTCTCAATGTCTTTCTGGTGAGTACACCTGCCCTATGGCAAAAACCTAAAAAAAAAGAGTTGTTGGGAAAACTCAGATAATGTTTGTAAAGTATGCAGAGCATCGTACCCAACACATAATTACTATTATAGCCATTTCTTTTGATTACTATACATTCATAATCTATTATATAATTAAATAATTTAATCTACCATATAATTTAATACCTTAATTTTATGAGATCCTCCAGATTCTTGGTTGGTTTGTAAGGGGAGAATATTTTTAATAAGATTAATATTAAATACACAAAGTACCAAATGTTACCAGGGAATAGTATGCTCATTCCCATTTCATTATTCTATCACAGACAGTGTTACTATTACTAACTTTTTAGTATCTTCAGAAAAAATTCTATGCCTATACTAGCCTAGTGTACCCAGTCCCTGACTTATAATGGTTTTATGTATGATTTTTTTCAGCTTTACAGTGATGGGATGGTGATACACATACAACAGAAACTACACTTTGAATTTTGACAGTTTCCTGGGATAGTGATATGTGGTACAATACTCTCTTGTGATGTTTGGCATGAACAGAGAACCACAGCTCCCAATCAGCCATGAAATCACTGATGTTTTTTTGACTGTACTGCCTTTGCAGTTTTGTCAAAGATCATGTGTCTCTCTCTATATATGTGGGTCTATTTATGGACTCTATTCTGATGATTTATTTATGTGCCTTTACACCATATCACACTGTCTTAATGATTGTAGCTTTAAGATTTAGTCTTTAAATCAATGTTGAATTAAGTCAGTGAGGAATTCTCCAACTCTGTTCTTGTTTTTCAAAATAATTTTGGCTACTTTAGGTTCTTCACATTTTAAAATACATTTTAGAATCACCTTGTTAATTTCTGCCAAAAGGTTTGCTGAATTTTGATTGAGTCTATGTTAAATTTACACATTGATTTTGGCAGAGTTCACATCCATGCTGAATTTTTAAAATTCATGAACATGGTATATCTCTCCATTATTTAGGTCTTCAGTTTCTCTCAGCTATGCTTTCTACATTTCAGTATAAAAAGTCTTTCATAACTTTTGTTAGATTTATCCCTAAGTACACAGCTAATTCTCATTATTTTAGTAGTTATATCCTATAAAATTGCCATGGACAGTTAATGAATACTGAGCCACTGCTCCAAGGGGAAATACAAGACCAGGTTCCTATGGGCCTTTTGTCACAACATTTTTATCAACTGTTCAATAACCTAATTTTATGTGTATTTCTGTTTAAAGGCACCACCCTTACATGTATTTCTTACCAATGATTATATACAGTATTTATTTATAATAAAATACTAGCTTACGAGGGCTTTTCCTGACCCTGGGTAATGTGACCATAGATTTCTTTTGCTTTCAGTATCACAACACTATCTATTATGCTTTTAAAAAAGGTCTTCATCTTATGAGTCCCTAAAGTTAGTCACTTTTCCACAGCTTCATAATACACTATAGATGTTACTTTAGCATTTTTCCGAAGTAACCTCATGTACAGACTGACAAATTTCTTCTTCCTAGTGTACTCTGTTGTTAGTTCTTTAGCATTAAATTCACAGTCACTGGCACTTAACTGAACAAAGCTTTTCTAATACATATGTTTTCTATGTAAGGCACATTACAGACTTCTTGTATTCTGGAACACTAGAGAGTACTTCAACACTATGTTTGAGGGACCTTTTCTTTTTCTTTTTTTTTTTTTCTTTTTTCTTTTTTTAATAAGCAGAGTATCTCAGCTGGAATGCTAGATGTGCACTCCCATGCCAGCTCTTTTGCAGACAGGGTCTCACTATGTTGCCCAGGCCAAGTCTTGAGCTAGTGATCCTCCTGCTTCAGCCTCCAAGGCCACTGGAATTACAGGCACAACCACTGTGCCCAGCTTTGAGCCAGGAACTGAACTAATCTTAGCAACATGTGCTACAGTGCCTTGGGCTGGGGAGTCATTTTAAATGTGAAATCACCAAGGGCAAACACAAAAATGATAACAAAAACTTAGCACTATATGTAGATAGGTCATGCAAAGGACACTTTTTTACCTCTTGAGAACTGAAACAAAAAGACAGTACTTTGACTGGCCCTCAGCTGGGAATATGTTGCATTGGGCCAGTCGAATTGTTTGCCATTCTGTATATGTATCCACAAATAACTGAAATGGCCATGAGTATTGATTTTGGGGATACAAACAGATTTTAGTGAAAAGGTGAATTTGTAAATACAGAACCTTTGAATAATGAGAATGTTACATTTCTGATTATATCATAAATTCTATATATTTAAATTTAAATTTCTGAGTTTCTGTTGCCTTTATTTTGAGAGGTTTTTGCCATAGGGCCTGTGCACTCACCAGAAAGAGAGACAGGAAGCGAGAAATCACCCCCCGGAGGGATGGCCATGCTACAATCCCTTCTCCTCCAATCTCCTCTTGGGATTTGAGCACGCATGCACAAGCGCCCGGCATGAGTTTAAGCCACCAGGTCCAGGACTCAAACTACAATCGACTGCATGGGAGTGCAGCAACATAGCCATTACGCCAACTGCTGGTCCCTCTGTTGCCTTTTTACAATTTTTTTTTTTTTTTGTATTATGATCTGTGCTTTGTCTTATCTTCTGCATATCATATGATTACTTAGAAGGGGCATAGAAATATGGTTAATTTTGTGCATACAAGTACAAAAATATGGTTTTACCCATTAACTCTCTAATAAGAGTGATGAATAGATAAGAATATTTTCATCTCTCTCCTTTCTTCCCACACGTACTTTTACTTGCTTTTATACTGTTTGTTTGCCTTTTAACCTTTAAATACATTATATTCTGCAGCAATCCATTTTCCATTTGCTTTGGTCCTAGGGATAGAGTAGAATGCAATGCTTAAAGGACAGTCCTTTTGCTATAGGCTCTCCATTCACATCCTTCTGGGCAGAAATTTCTTCTTCTGATAATTTCTTCAGTAAGGGGCTCCTAAGAATTCTACATCTTGAACTGCTGCATAGTCATCAGTATTTGTCTACTAATTGTATATTTAAAATAAATTTGGGCTAGGTAAAGAAGTCTTGAGGCAGTAGTTCATGAAATGCTTAAACAGAAAAATCAAAGCAGTCAATATAAATACAGGAACTTTCTGAACAACCCCACATGAAATGGATCACTAGAAAAAAATGGGTAAAAGGTGTTATACAGTAAAATATTTCCTCTGAGTATATTCTATGCAAAACCTTTTTACATTCTGGTTATATATCATGTGAGGGTATAATCCAAAGAAACCAGGGGTTTTCTGTATCACAAGAATCACCAAGGCAGCAGACGACAGCAGCACTAGGACATAGCAGGCCAGTGGAAAGCATGTCAGATTAGGAGCAAGACATTCGGTCGGAGGCTTAGCCTTAACATCAACTAGCCATGAGTCTTTAGGTATGCTACTAAAGCCTCATAAACTGGTAAGAGAGGAAAGAAGTGGCACAGGTTTATATGTTATTATTCACTGTGAGAATGCATCCTATCTATGGTAAAGAATTCTCCCCTTCCAACCTCAGCTATTATTAAAATGAGTTTACATTTCTTGAGAAATTAAGGGGGTTAAAGACAAGCATGGGGGTAAGGTACAACTCAGAGACAACAGTCAGACATGAAAAACCTGTAGGGAATCCATTCACGCATAATCAAAAAGTCAACAGGAAAGGTTAAAATGGCTTGGTTGGGAATCACCAGGGATTCAGATTGGATTTGGTTATTAAATCAATAAGGCTTATTACTATTGATTAAAAGGCCTATCCATGCAGTGGATGACACAATGTTCCCTCCTTGGGTGATGCTGTGGAATAAAACTCCTAGAACTGGAGCTAAAAATGACCAGGGTCAACGCTGGGTTATTATATTTGCCATCTAGCTAAAGGAAGACAAATGAAGGACAGATCTGCCTTAGGACGTCGCCTATAAATTGCTGCTTAAAATAAAACTTGCCCTGCCTCTAATACTTTTTTGGAAAGAAACAGAATGTAAATAAATTTGACAAATAAAATAAATGTGCTGCTATCTCTTAGGCGAAGCCTGTGCTGAATGGCAAACCCTAAAGACACTACCAACCAAGGCAAATCTCTGAGAGTAACACTATGGTAGCCAAAGCAGACACATCCCATCCACAGTCTGTGGGAAGCCAACACTCTCTGGTCAACACATTTATATGTTAAGTTGAATTTGATTCTCAATCTATATGCCTAAAATCCTCTACTTGGATATAACTCTATCTAAAAATAAGAAATCCAAACCATATTGATAAAATAAGATCAATATCTGTGCTTTAAAAACCAAGTCAGTAATTAATAATTTCTGTGTATATAGTGTTTTTTCAAGGTATAGTGTTTTCATATAGAAATTACTTATATCATTTGACACACACAGCAATCAGGAGGTGGAGGTCATGAAATCCATTGTGCAAAATAAGGAAACTAGCTTGGAGAGGATAAGGGATTTCCTGGTGAATGGGCACATCTACACTGCCTTGCATACTCTCCTCATTGCTTATTTGCTGGCAATTTCCAACTTGGGGGGCAAGGATTTATATAAACTTTCATAATTATTTCTAATTTTGAGATTACAAGATTGGGAATCACTTTGAAAGCAATGTAGCTCAGTCCCATATCAAATCCTCTTTCCATCATTGGGAAGGAAGAAGAGTAAGAGAATTGAGAGGAGGACAAGCAAAGGACAGCATCATGCGTGCAAGTCAAAATTGTGAGAGTAAGTTATAAAAACAAGCAGTAATCAAAACTGTCAGCTGGGGCAGAGAGATCAAGCAGGAGAAATGAGGAGAGGCCAAGGAATTTGGGTCATTTGTGGAATCCTAGGACATAGATAAGTATTAACGCAAGCTGAAATTGAGCATATTCTTCAGAAATTCCTAGAACCTCCTTTCTAGTGCATAATCTTTATCAGTACCACACAGTCCAAAAAATGACCAGTCATTTGTGGCAATAGGGGTGAGCCTGGAGGACACTGTTCAGGGAAATAAGTCAGGCACAGAGAAAGAGACTCCATGTTTTCTCATTCACAGTGGAAGCTAAAAATGTTGCTCTTGGGGGACAGCAGATGGCAAGGTGATTGGGGCACTGGACTACCACATGGGTGATCACGGTTCGAGTCCAGGACCTGATAGCTTAAAAATCACACTGTGTGCGTTTGTGTGCATGCCAGAAATCCCAAGAAGATAAGGGACTGTGGTGTGGCCACCCCCCTGGCGGGGGTGGTGATTTCTCACTTTCTCTCTGTCTCTCTGATAGGTGCCCATGCCCTATGGCAAAACCTTTAAAAAAAAAGTTGGTCTCATAGCAGTGAGTAGAATAGTGGTTATTAGAGCTGAAAAGGGTGTTGGGAGGAGGGAAAGGGAGAGGAGGGTTAATGGCACAGTTAGACAGGAATAATAAATTATAGTGTTCAGGAGCACAGTAGAGTGATGATAGTTAATAATTTATTGAATACTCAAGATAGCTTAAAAGAGGAGTTTTAAATGTAACCAAAACAAAAAAAATGATAAATGTTTGCGATGATAGATATGCTAATTACTCTGATTCCACCATTGGACATTGTAATATGTATGGAAATACCACTCGATATGTATAATAATTGTATCAATTGAAAATAAAAAGGAAAAAGAAGAACCAGCAGATGGTGTAAAGTTTACGCTGCTGGACTCCCATGTAGCTGACTGTGGTTCAAGTCTGAGATCTGGCAGCTTAAAACTCATGCCGGGGGACCAGCAGTTAGCACAATGGCTATGTCGCTGGACTCCCATGTAGTCGACCTCAGTTCGA